CCTCTTTAAATAATACCTTGTGGTATTGTTTATACACTGATACCTCCCGGGGACAATGCTTCTTCAATGAAACTGCAAATCCTTCCTTTAAATCAAAGGGTGAACGCGGGGTGCTAGGATTAAAAAACGGGGGCCGAATACCTCCTAAATATTCAAACCTTGCTGCTTTAAAAGGACAATACTGGGTCTGTGGCTCCCACGCCTACCATAAAATCCCTGCCAAAGGAAAAGGTATCTGCTATCCGGCAATGCTAAAACCCTCTACGTCCTTCGCCACACACCTTCCACGGGGCAGGTGGTGAAACAAGAGGGATTTGCAAAAAAGCCGTGAAATAATAGACAAATATCAAAAAACTCCGCTTACCAAAGGAATATTAGTCGGGTGTTCTTTAGCAGGTATACTCCCAGGAATAGACACTGCTTGTCTTGGAAGATTTACACTACGTCTGCAAGCTGTGATAGAAATCATGGCTCATAAATTCAGTGAAGGTCACAAGGAACTCTCGAAGGCCGTTGCTGCCTTGGCTAACACCCAAGAAAAACTCCGACAAATGATAATTCAAAACCGTATAGCCCTTGATTCTGCAGTGCCGAAGCACACACAAAATCATACCCTTTGGGTCATGACAGTGCCCAGTCTGCTAGTGACATAGACTAAATGAAGGTGCCAGTCAGTAAAGTGAAAACGTTTCTGTCATCTTTTAAGAAGTTAAATGCAATGCCAATGCCTCTCTGCCAGTCAGCAGTGAGGGGTGGGGCTGCTGGGAAATGCCCACAAAAATGGTTCTTCATGCCATAACCAAACTGCAAAAGTTGCTTTGCCTCATCCCAAATATTTATAATTTCCATTCTATTCAAGGGGGCTAATTTGCAATGAGCAAATAAGAAGGCTCATAGAACCACAAATTTTAAATTGTTGTAATTGCAGTGCGTTTTAAAGTGTCCATATTTTTGCACTTACTGTAACAAACTGTGTGTTGTTGCAGAGCTTACAAACGTGTGACTTAGAACCTGATGTCCACCTTTGTGAAAATAAATACTGCCCCTCAGGAGATGTCATTGGCACAGGAGGTAAGAAAACCCAGGCATTTGTGCTTCTGCATGGAGAAAACTTCTAAAGGACTATTATAAACATATATCAACTGTTGGTTTTTTATTGTTGCTTTTTTACAGGTGCTCTGTCAAACAAGTTGCACAAGGTAAGGGAAAAAGAAAGAAATCTTAATAATTTCAATCCAATTTATCTGAATATAATTTAATAAATATCAGAACTGACTGCTGGTTTTAGTCTTCTTCAAGCAAAAGTAGATAGCAATGTTGAAAAGGTCTGCGCCATAATTTTTCTTCTTAAAAAACTATAAAGGATGTGAAGTCTACCAACAAAAAGATTTTTTTAAAATAGTTTCTATGTGCGAATTTGCCTGTGTGTATATTTATTTTTAATGGTTTTTTATATTTCATATTTCATATTTATTTATTTTAATAGCCTTATTTTAATACTGTATTTTATATAGTACTGTATTTTATACATATATATGTATATATTTATTTTTAATAGTCTTCTAACAACCTACTGATTCCAGAAGTTTTCTTTGTGGATTCTAGTTGCCTCTTGGATTTGTCCTAGGTCAAATTAAAAAATGTGCCACTTGTTTTAAAAAGTGAAACTCCAATTTAATTCATTTTAAGCCTCAGCAAATGGGAATAAACTTAGTTGGGAGTAATGTTTGTAGGCAAGTAAGAACAGTCCCTATGTTGTATTAACCCTGTTTTCTGTAATAGAATGATGAAATCTGGTAATTGTACACATCACAAAAAAACGCTACCACCAGTAGCAACTATGCTCTCTCTCTACACTATTAAAGCATTTCATATTGCATTACAGGCCTTACCAGCCTCTTAGCTGTACACCTGGTAGCAGTCCAGCCAAACCCTGAAAGCTCTGCTGAACTTAAAAAGTATGAGGCTGACCCTAGTGCCACTTGCCTTATAGCCTTCCTGTACCTGAAGAGCATTTGGACCTTACCTGGCATGTAGGTCTCAAGCACAGGAAGTTCACTAGCAGCAACCACACAACTCATCGTTTCTGACTTCTGACCCTTCTGCATCTAACTTCTGTCTGCTGCCTATAAGTAGAGCAGGGGTGGGCAAAATACGGCCCACAGGCCAGAGGCCATTCTATCCAGCCAGCGGGGCCCCAAAAAATGTAGAAAATTAATATTTCTCTGCCCTTGGTTCCTGTCAAAAGGAATGTGCATGTATAGATGGTGACACTTTACTGTGCAGTAGATTAGTTTATTGTGCAGTAAAGTGGCTCGTGTAGACACACCCAGAGAGAAGCATTTCCTTCTGAACAGGACTGCCAGTGTGCTCTAGCACAGTGTTTCTCAACTGGTGGGTCACAAGAATATATGAAAGGGTTGCAAACAGACTTTAAAAACGGATCAAGGATTGTTGGTTGTAGCCATGTTGGTCTAAGGAAATAGGCAGACAAGGTTCTTTGGGTAGATGTGATATCTTTTATTAGACCAACTAAATAGTTGGAAAAATTGTTCTTTGCAAGCTTTTGCTTACAAACACCCTTCTTTAAGCATAGGGAGAGTCAACAAACTTAAAAAATGGATTCTTCTTTAAAGGAGAAAAAAGTGGGAAACCGTGGCTTTTCTCTTACAGGTTTTCAGAGCTTCAGCCTGCAAAGGGCTTCTTGGGCCCACCCCTTTGCCCCACATGCCCACCCCCTGCCCCACATACCAGGGGGCTGGGGCCTGGGGTGGGGGGTAGCAGGTCAGGAGTGAGAGACACTGGGTTGGGACTGGCCATTGATGTTTACAGATGGGTCCTGGTACAAAAAAGGTTGAGAACTACTTCTCTAGCCAGCATTTTTAACAAGCACAAATTCCTCACACAAAGCATTTTAAATACTTTGCTAAAAACCAAATTCAGCCCAGTGAAATCAGTGGGGTTGCATGGCTGCAACCAAGGAAAACTTTTAGATCAAAATACCCAAGAGAAATAGATGATCATGTCTGGAAAAAGTACTTACACATGGAGTAAATACTATGGTTTATCTGTTTTACAGGACTCTTACAAAAGTCCAGTGGAACTACTGGCAGATCTTAGATTGTCAAAGAATACAAGTAGAAGAACACAGGTGGGATTTGTTTGGTTTTTTTATTTTCAATCTTAGCACATTATAAAACATATATCAGTAGTATTTTTATAGAAATGTTTTCCCTTTTTTGCAGCTAAATCAAAATAATAACAAGGAAGGGACATTTAATTCCTGGGGATATACACATAATCAAGTCAATGCTACTATGAACAGGTAACACATTTAATTCTTCAAACAATTTAATTAGAACAGAATTTGTTTGCCCATGTCCAAACAAGCTGAACAAGTGAAAGGACTGCTTGCTAAGACAAGCATTTAGCACACTGTGCAATTTTATACTACTGGTTAATTATCATCTTATATGATTGCTAACATCCAAGTTCAAAGGGGATTTATGGATTAATATATAGATAATTTAATTAAAATAAAGTAATTTGAGAACTTGGAAAGTATGATGTTCAGGTAAGTGTTTTTAATCTCTTTTGGAACACAATTATTTTTTCTTCTGTTATGCCCAAAGGATGTTTTTTGCCATCTTGGGATGTAATTTATTAATGTTATTAACATTATTTTTTCCAATTAACCCTATATATACTCTGCTAATCCTGTGGAATAAGAATATACAAAAGGAAATTTATTTTTTTCTCCATACTGGAATTGCTCCTTCCCATCTATCTAAGACCTACTCTTTCCTTTCCACCTTAAAGAACACCATTCCTCTAGTCTCCCTGTTTCTTAGGGTAAGCTAGGTATGAATGACATTGGTTATTTTCACTTCTAACATTTGAGTGTTTTAACTTTATATTTTAACTTACTATGTTTGAACAAGAAAAGGACAGAAGTTGCTTAAGTTGCTGTAAAATTAAGTCCTGATCCTACAAAGAGACAAGAACGTGGATAATTTCATTGTCCAAGGCAATGGGTGCATCTATACGTGAAATTAACATGATGCGATAAACTCTGGAGCAATTTGAGCCAGGGTCACCTGCTCCCTCCACAGTGTCTACACGTGCACCTGGGACAACAGCAGTTTGAGCAGGGTAGAGCAGTTCCGGGCTGACAGCAGGCTTGGAAGGTCAGCCTTGAGCTCTGGGGGGTGGTGTTGAGTGGCAGAGGGGCTAGCTGGGGCATGGGGGAGCCAAAATGCAGAACTGTGCAGCAGGCAGCCCCCATACTTAATCACCTTCGTGCCCCAGCCAGCCCCTGTCACTGCACATGCATTTCGTTGCACTTAATTACTCTGCCGTAAGATAGTACTATCCCTGACAGTACTATCTTATGGTGGAGTTAATTTATTTACTGCACCCTAATACCGGCACACAAGTAGACAGTGACACTTTACTGCAGAGCTAATTGCAGTAAAGTACATGTATAGATGTACCCAATGTACGTAAAGACAGGTGTGTAAAGTTATGCATAAATCTAACTCTTTGTAGGATTAAAACCTAATGATATTCTAGAAGGAGCAGCAGCTGTACTTAGAGGCATAGCTGGTGATTTAGAGAAGTTTCTTGGAGTATCTTCCTCTTATGACTACCTTAACAAAACAAAATACAGCCAACCTGGCTCTATCAAGAACCAATTGGATCAAGCTAGTCTAATCTCCTTTTTTTTTGCCAGGATAACTGGCTTAATAGAAAAGTGAGAAATGCAGATGGTGATACCTTCTGTTTAGTAAGGCTTTAGACACTGCCCCACTGCCATTGCCATAAGCAGCTAGGCAAATATACCGTATTTATTCAAACATAAGAATCCCCCCACTCCCTCCCAATCATCACGTGAAAAAAGCTCCTTATTTTACACTTGCATACAAAATCTCACTCAATATGTTATAATTAAACTGCTGCAGAACACACTATGTTCTCAGTAATGGAAAAAAAAAACTATGAAGTTGATGAATTACAGTTTTCTAGCCACATACCTAGGTGTTTTGGGCATTTATGACAGCACTATGGACACATAAACATGTGCATGTAGACTGAACACGGGTACTCTCAAGACTGGTTGGGCAGGAATGTAGCTATCTATCCATACGTGAGTGTAAGTATGGCTTCGATATACACTGAGGTAGAAATCAGTAAGAGGAGGGATTAGATGAGTTCTCGGTTTCCTTTTCAGCCTCACATTTCAAGATGTTCCACAATTAAAATAACTATAGTCCTTTCCACAGTGGAATTTGAAACCATGATAGTAACAACTGTACATGTTTTTGTTAAATAATTTAACAATAGCACAAACAGCATGATACAAATGTATAACACAGCCATGCCCGCAGATTCCAGAGGATTTTTCCCCATGCACCATACACATTTACCAGACGTATGTTGCATGTGGTGTTGTGTGGTGTAGGATTTTTTTTGTCTGCCTTTGAAGCATTAGGGATACTAGTTGCAATTGACCACTGCTCTGAAATGATACCAGGAAGCTACTACTTAAATGCTGGACTGATGGGTCTGCCTGCATACTCAAGGTCAAACTGATTTCCAGGTGTGCGGTCCAGAAAGAGTTTTTCCTCAGGTCATTTTGCCAGAGGGTTTTTTGTTTTTTTTCACCTTCTGACACAGGATGGATCTCTTCATAAGAATCATCTGTGCATTTCTCATCACATCACAGTTCCAGGGGTTCTGGGCATTATATTGGGTTCAAGATCAAGCTAAGTAGATGAAAACTAATAATTTGTGGTATATGGGAGGTTAGACTGACTGATCTAGTCTCTTCGTGGTCATAATGTCCATGAAACTTGTCTTCGCTCAGTTGTATTTTCTGGTGCAGCCACATGTAACAATTGAACCATTCCCAAACATCAATGATTGGGGTCCAGTGCACAGTTGTTGCAGGACAGACTATAAATGACAGTAGCTTCTCATCTTTTCTCTTCTCAGCTGATAAGCTGACCATTATTAAACTGGTCAATTCTCTATTTTCTGGGGTAGAGGAGATAGCAGCAGTGCCACATTGTGAACAGCTGACAAAACAGAAAACCTGAAAAATGTGCTTCTTAATAGGTTGTGACCTAACCACCACCTAATTAGGCTTCCTTGTTCTGTTGCCATGTAGTTTTGGGTATACCAAATAAATTGAATCTGAATTTCAGCACTGGTGGGCACATCTACATGTGTTGGTCTAATAAAAGATATCAAATTCACCCAAGGAACCTTGTCTGCCCACATGTACATATGCGTTTAATATACCTTAAAGTTACTGTGCTTTAAAATAAGGCCCAGTAAACTGCACCTGGGAACGCATCTACATGTATCCCTGCATCAGGAGCAAATTTACTCCTAACAGGGCCAGTTGAGTCCAGGACTGCTTCTGGACCCCTGCACTTCCCTAGCAGGGGGAGCTGCAGGCTCCTCTGGTACCAACCCCAGGCAGGCAGGGGGGACAGGGGTCAGGCCTGGGCTCTGGGAAGCAGGGCGGTAGCTGTCCTGGAGCAGGGGACAGCTCCCAGCTTCTTGGTGCTCAGAATTGCAGCCTGGCTTGGCGGTGCTGGCTTGGGGTGATGCTCCATGGCCAAGTGGGAGCAGTGCCTTGAGCTCTCCCTTCACTTTGCTTGCTGAGGGGTAGGAGGAGCTCTCTGCGCCTGGTTCCAGCGCTGCTCAGCTGGCTCCTCACAGGAGCTGGGAACTGAGCAGCACCAGGATGGGGGAGCTCTCTATCACCAGGGACAGAGAACTTCCTTGTTCCCTCAGCCTAGCCACTGCCCACACAGCACAACCCCCCAGTTGGCTCCCGCTCCCTGCCTGTGCCTGCGGGGAGCTGGGAGCTAAGCAGTGCTGGAACTGGAGACAGAGCAAGCAAAGCAAAGGGAGGGGAGAGCTCAAGGCGCTGCTGCCACTCGGCCACGGGGCATTGCCCCAAGCCAGCACCACTGAGCCAGGCTGTGATTCCCAAGCTCCACCCGGGAGCTGCAGACAACAACCCCATCTCTCTCTCCCCTGCCTCCTGTGGCTCCTTGCTGCCTAGGCTGACCAGGAGTAAATTGTTCCTGATCAGTATTACACATGCACTACTGCATAGTATCTAATGCATGGTTAATCTAGTTCCTGTATTTTTTTATTTTTTTTGGTACTAGCAAACCTAGGCGCATTAGCCTAATTTGCTGCTCAGCAAGTCCTGCACACACATAGATGGTGATGCTTTTCTGTGTATTAGTCTAATGTGCACTAAAACGCCTTGTGTAGATGCACCCAGTGAGGACTCAGAAAGATTCTTTTAGTTATTTTCTAGTAGTGCTTAGCTGAACTTAATACTTCTGAGGGGAACCTGTAACTGCTATAAATATTTTCGCTATAGTTGAAAAATTACCCAGAAAGTATTTTATTACCAGTTATCTTCATTTAGTAAAAACTAAAGACATGTATAGGCTTGGGGACAAATAATTATGAAATTTAATTTTCATTAATCCACTCATCACTGAGGAAGAACATGTCTTGTCATCTGTAGGAAGAGTCTGAAAGCAACGTCTGAAGAAACTGCTTCTGCCAAGTATTTCCCTCTGTCTGTCCCTCTACTGCCTTCTCATTTAATAAATCCTTTGAACCCCTAATCTTTCCATACTTTTTGGAGCCCTAAGGTACGGATCCTGAGAAAGATACTGTGAGGGCTTCTCAGTCACCTAGTAAAAGTTACTTGATGATAAACATTATCTGGGCTTTTCAGATATTTTCACTGTATAGGTTACATTGTAATAGTTTTATTGACACTTGTGTTCCCCTTTTAGTAGCTGCGGCATTTGTTCCAGTGGAAAAGTAATGTTAAGAAGGTACGGAATGTGCCTTTAATGAAGTTTAATAGCCTGGAAACAAGTAGAGCCCTCATCAACTGCTCCACAGTCTCTCCACACTGCAGGGACTGCTATTGGAACATCATTGATTCATGATGAGGTTTTATTTCCCTGGTAGGTTAAGGATAATTCCTGAGACTACTTACACCCTTATTTAACTTTTGTGATGTCTACTGGATGTAAGACAGCTCAAAAGTTGATCTGCTGTCTTGGAGCTTTTAAAACTTCTCTCTCTGCCTCTCCCATCAGCTAGAATAAAGCGTTGGTTTTACCTTCATTCATCTCCTGGCCAACTCTGCTTATAGGTATGCTGTAACATATTTTCCAAATGTATCTCTTTCTCAATATTTGAATCAAGGAGCTTGGGGCTACAGCTCTTCAGAAGGCCCCATTAGACTGCTTTTTCCCTATTGCTTGAGGCCAGCCCACAGTATATTTTCATCTGTCTTTGTTTTTTCAAGAGACTCAAACCTTTTTTTCCTTGAAGAACTTTGTTTTGAGGCAAATTTTTAAGCATTGTGTAACTGTCTTTATTGTTCATCCCCACTTCTACTTAATGAAGTGCTTAAATTAACTCGGCTGTCTAACAGATCCTGCTGCTCAGACATTGGTTCCTACTTGTCATTTGTCACAATTCTGAGGTGCGTAGTAATCCTGTCATACAGTGTCACTTCCAGAATATTTATCACATGTTTTCAATTAAAAAAAAGAAAAGGCTTTAATGTATCTATTAGGGTTCCCAAGAGTTATGGTCAAAATATCAGTCAGGCTGTACATTAATCATGTTTGTCTTCCCCTTTCTTACTCCTGCAGCATGAACAGGGATGAATGATGGTGTTCATGCTGGTCCCAAATTACATGCCTAAAGTTACATTCATTTTCCTTTCTGTTATAAGTAGTAGTCAACTAATTTCAGTGTTCCAGTTAATTATTTTGTCTAGAATAAACAAGGTCCTCTGGTTTCCTCTAGTTACTCCTACTCCCAGTTTTTAAATCTTAAATTTATGTGGATGCATGCAATTTAATAAATATGGTCAGTCCCCACTCTGTCTCTATCCCCCCAATTCCTTGCACAGAACCAGGGTAATCCAAAGCTTTGCAGAGGGTGAAGATATTCCTCTGCAGCTTGACTCATCTTGGAATGGCTCAATCCACAGGAGTTCCTTCCCATTCCCTGGCACAGGTATGCAAAGGATAGGGGGAGAACTGGTGCCACTCAACCCATCCTGGGTTCCTGGAATAGCTTGAATGGTGGGAGAGAGCTGCCATGGCTTGATCCATCCCCGGTCCTGGGATGGCTCAAGTGATGAGGGGTATCCCCCACTCCTTGCACAGCTGTCACCCTTCTGTGCAAGTTGGGGAGGGAGGAAATTCCCATTTCACAGAAATGGGATGAACGACTAGTCAGACTCGGCATCAGTCAGGGCTGTAAGCACAGCCAAGGTTCACCTGCAGAGGTGAGGAGGCAGGGTCATGCTCTGTGCTCCCTGCAAGCAGCTGCAGGCTGTTTGATAGTCTGGTTTGTACTCTGGAACCAGTCAGGGTCCTCAGCACAAGTACTGGGCCTATGAGCTAGTTCATCCACAGGGGCCAGAGAGCAGTGAACCCTGAGATGCTGAGGGACCCATCCAAGACTGTTTAACATACCACACATTCAAATTAAAGCACGATACAAACCAGCCACAAAGATGTTCTATGTTTAACAAACAGTATCTTTTGAGGCTGGCTCACCATGTTTATGACTTGTTTGCCATTTTAAACATGCGATAAATTGCTCAAGTGTGGGGCATGTTGCAGTTCATTACACAATAAATGCAATGTCTGTCAAAGGCCCCACTCTACGCACACATCACACCAGAGTATAAGATTTATGGCATGCTAAGGGAACATTGTGGGAATGCCTTGTTAAAATACTGCCAACACGTTATTGACCTCTAGAAATTACCCTGAGTTACAAACTTAAAATCCAACTCTGTATTTTTCCAGAGATACTGAGTCCTATGAAAGATGGGTCTAAACTGCTGACCAGGTGTCCAGAGGACAAAACAAAAAAAGTTCAGAGGAAAGAATTTCAGATCAGGGTTATTTCGTATCTGTTGGGTTCAACAGTTCTGTTTCTCTCAGAAAGCTGAGTTACAGCTTTCAAAAACACATCATAATTTTTAAGACATGCTCCAGGGAGCTGCAGGAAATCAGTGCTCCTGGTGGGTCATTTACTTGCGGGAATCATACCAACTTTATTTTATTATCCCATATCACAGGGGTGGGCAAAATACAGCCCGTGGGCTGGATCTGGCCTGCCCTCCGGCCCGCAGAGCCCCTTCAAAACCCAGGTAATGGTGGCTGCCTCTCTAAAAGCCTCCGGCGGTACCAGCCATCGACTGCAGCACCTCAGGCTGTTTCCTTGGGTTCTGGTTGCGAGGCAATCAGCCCTGACCTCAGCCTGCCCCAGCTGGCCTTGCCCTGCCCCTGGCTCAGGCCAGGCTTGCAGCTTGAGAGGGGCAGGCGGGCTGGGACAGAACCTGTGACGCCGGTGAGAGGAAACAGTGTCTGGGCCAGCTTCTGCCTCCTGTGCGGGACTGGGAAGGGCCCTGCCCTGCAGGTAAGCCCAGGAAAGCGGCTGCTGGGCAGGCTTTCCCTATGCTGGGCTGCTCGGGCTGTTCAGGGTTGGTCTGGACCAGCACTGGGGAGGGGAAGTAGCAACTGGGCCACAGCTAAAGTCGGCTCCTCACGTGCTCTGGGGACGGGAGGAGCCCGGCCAGGTCTGCACTGGCCAGCAGAAGCCGCGATGGAGCCGTGTGCTGCTCGGGACTGACTGGTGCAGGCAGGGGGAAAGTGTAGCTGAGCCCCTGCTGCTCTGGCCGGCACATGAGGACTTCAGCTATATGCCACCTTTCCTAGCTGGTGCAGACCCAGCTGGGTCCTTCCCATCTGGAGCAGCATGTGGCTGAAGCCAACCTACCAGGTGCTGCTGAGGATGAGGCAAGCCCGACTGGGTCGGCACTGGCCAGCAGAAGCGGCGGCGGAGCCTCCTCCTTTTGGGATCAGCTGGCACAGGTAGGGAGAAAGTTCTGGGGGAGGTCTGATGCCCCTGCAACCCCACTGCTGGGGCAGGCTGTTACAGGGGTCACAACCCCTTGCTACCTGGTAAGTTGTGCAAGGTGAGGGACGTCCAGTGGCAAAGGTCAGAGGTCAGGGTATGGGACAGCCAGTCCCAAGATGGCAACCAGAGGGTGGGGCAACTGAAGGGGCAGGGCTACCCATGCCACCCTTGACAGCTTGCCAGTCATCAAGCAGCCCTCTGCCCGAAATAATTGCCCGCCCCTGCCATATTAGGACGATGGTTAGAAGTCTGAGCCTTGGGTAATGTTATATATGCTTAGTGGCTATTCCTTTTTGCTACACAGTTGTTGCATCATTAGTTCACTCTAAATACCTTGTATATTTAACTCATTCCTCTAGGATTCATATTTTGACTATAAAGGTGGTTTGTAAGATTACATTCTCTTCTGTGATACTTAATGAAACAGGACTTGACTAGCAGCTGACTATAAGCATCACAGCAGTTGCATACCATGAGTTCTGAGGAGAATCTTACTGTATTTTTGTCACTAGTATTTGTTTCACAGTTAGTCTATTTTGAAAAACAAACTATGCACTAGCTTTGGATCCTATGAAGAACAGTGGTGAAGAGGCAAGGATTTTTGTGGGTGATACCTTTTATTGGACTAACTGCATGGCGGGGATGGACTTAGATAAGAGTTTTTCCCCCATTCATAGTGTACCAACAGGTAAAACTTCCCTGCCATGTAGG